AGATGATTGGGTCGGTTATCGATCGAGTCGCAGTTGACTGYTTGATTAAACTATGCATGGGGTTCCTTGTTCCTCACTGGGAGTATGTATGGATGCAAAAAACTAGCTCAGAATAGCGAGCAAGGATGCCATTTTGGCTAGAATATTCTAGATCAGGGATAGTAATAAAATGGTAATATCTTTTATTGGGCTTATAGGAAGTAAAGGAAGCATAAATTAACRAAATATTTACAATACTGACAACATCAGTACAWTRTAAACAAAATAGCGGAATGAAAACACTCCGCGCTGTTTTTACCGTTCAAGGAGTATGTTTATTTTTTAGACTGTGGGTCTACAGTGTGGGTCTCATAACCTTTATCCATTGTTTTTGCATTGACAACGTTAGAAACCAACATCGACAACCACTTCACTTTACTGACCACTGATAACATATTGATGGCATAGGATCAGGACACTAAGTAAATAGGGWGGAGCCTCGACTATAAATGACATCAATGTTTTATTATTGCCATTACATGATTTTCAAACGAAACAACCAGGACAAAAATACCGAAAGGTAAATATAAGTAATACGACTAAAATCCATCAACACAAATAACATAATAAGGTCGAGTGGTTTGAGATTAAAAATAACATCGAATCAGTTGGTCTTGATACTGATGAACGTACTGATGTGGAGTGTGTCTGCCAACGAGATCAAGCTAAGGTGATTAATACTAAGACTGTATTGAGATGCAACTATTCCTCTCAAAACCATAGTWGAGAGAGCTTACAAAATAGAGAACTTTATAGATTCAAAGTGAGTATTGATGAGCAACGTTTTGCAGTATGTTTCTCTATGATGCAACTGTCGATTCTTTTCACGAATTTGCCTTTCTGTTTAATTTGATATCAACAATTTGGCTCTTATAGTTCTTCTAGTTTGCTTTTTAATCTAAAATGTCCTTATGGGATTACTTATTTACTGTTGTGACCGACGGATTAATTATACAATATTTCTGAGACTACCAAAATTAGAACAATGACTTGGAGTGTTTAATCAAATAAATGATAAAATGGGAAGCGGAAATGGGAAATCACTTGGAATGCTTGATTAAARGAATGTCTGATCAAATGATTCTTAATAGTTATAAGAAATCACCTGTCTGTATCGCTATGACGTCATAAATATGTCTAGCGTGTTTTCAAAAATGYTTGGACTCCGGCGGAGGAGTCCAACCATGACCTCCATCCAGCAATCATGAACCAAAAACCATGTTGATTAATCGTTCTAATTGTTCGACATCTGACGTTGCTAAGATATAATTAGTCCTGTTGTGCAAATTGATTGTTTTTAAAGCCTAAACGCAGTGYCTGTTCTGATTACATTTATTTGTTAGAGACTGACTGTTGATATAAGGTAAGGTATTATATCGTTTCTTCGCTTTTCTAGTKGTTTCTTGGCTCAATTTGATGCTTAATTCAGGAATAATGAAAAGCCTTCATTTCCAGGCTATATTTTGGTGAATCCACTGTTCAGAAGTTCTTAAAACCATTAAATTTAGCTAACACTAGCCCAGAGTCAAGAAGATRTACTATAGGTTAGTGATGCCGCCTACTAGTTCTATTTTATTTTCGTTTATAATATTAATTTTTCAGTGTACMGACTGCAAAAACGCCAAGGCACCAGTGTGGGATTTTGCGGTTTAATAACTGAACTGTACATTAACTGCAAATTAGCAAAATCGCATGAGAAAACCTCAGAATTTCCAATATTGATCTTGTCTAAGAATACAATGTTTCTATATTAAGAGAAATTGTTAGAATATTCAATTTTCACATTTTGGAACAGTTTCATTGAAAAAATGTTATAGCGAATCTCTTGAAAAATTTGACTCAATTGGTTTTTTTAATCATTTTGTTTGCGTGTAAAGTCTAGAGAATATCGATATGCATCATAATCACTCGAAAACAAAACAAAAAACACACAAATCATCCTATTCTACACAAATACACTGCTTGTCAACTGAAAAGACCAGAAAAAAAGACAACAAAATAACAAAATCAAGGAAATGATAAGAATTGATGTACTTCAAGTACATTACCACTAGTTATCGAAGAAATCAGCAAGCCTAATATAAGAAGATAGACACTGAGTGGTAAATCATACATGCATAACATAGCAGTACAGCAATAGAATACAACGAAAATTATTCAGCCCGGATCCTGTGTCAAACGCGAGTTTACTTGAAAGTAATATTTCGAAAAAAATMCTATGTCCAAGCAACAAGAAACACTACAATATCAAGAAATCCAGTGTCGAATTTAAATAGAGACAAAAGAAAACCACCCTTTTCATCAGCTAGTACCATTAGCTGTTTTAATAGTGTTTTCAACAGCACTCAAGCAGCCACAAATGATTCCGTGTCGAAATCCAAACTTCTTGTGGTGTCGATTATTCGTACAATGGTGATCCATAAATACATTACTGTCACCACAAGTCAAACATATAAACTCGAGTTCCTAAAAACACTGATTATATATCCGCAAAGCCACAGGGAAMCCRAMTACTAGGCTATTTATAGCAGGWTTTGTTTTCGCGCGTTGCGWCCCCGTGGATGTCTTATCCTGATAGGAGTCAACATTATCGAAAAAACCTACTGACTTTTGCAGCCTGAAAACTCTTTCTTATCATGCAACGGATCTTAMGTGTTTTGAAGAATTTCCGCAAATTGTCGGTTTGCTGACGTCTTRATTAAATAGAAAATGGCACAAAGCACCGCGGGTTGAAGAGCAAATTAGCAAAATTCGACGGTGCTTTTTAGTAGATTTAAAACTTACCGTTCTAACGTGGGTTACATGATATGAGCCGATAGTTACGGAATATTCGTAAATCAATACGATACCGACAAAACAACTACTTRCTTCATATAAATACCCCATGCATTTTCGATTACAATTATGGGATGTTTTGTAATATCACCTGGTATGTGTGCATGACTAGGGCAYTCTTCAGTAGTAAAATATACACAAGAAATTACTACTGATGACAGACAATGCGGTTAGTTTATTTCTTCTGTACAAATACAGTAAGTAGTACTTTTTTAAGTTTAACAGCTAAAGTATTCATAGTCGGTTTACATTATTCAAGTGTTTTGGATAAATAAGGTTATTAATGGCCGGCATGAAAAAAGGTTTCTGTAGAATAATTGGTTATAGCACAATGATGGATTCTAGTCTTTACTCGCTACACCTTAGTCTTTCCTAGTGGCTACTAACATCCTCAATGCTTGCATGAGCGGTTACTATTACAACGGCTTCTCCCAATCACTAAAATGGCTCCATCTGAAAACTAACAACTAGATTCCATCTTTCTTAATCTATTTTTCTTTAAGTTTTCAAATATTGACAAAATTATCTGTGACGATAAAAGATTTTTGCAAAATTTTAATGTGAGATTAGTTGTATCTCTTTAATTCTCTTTTTACAGACAGATTGATTATTATAGAACTTAAAAAAAAACTGGTCTGTGGTCCGGACTGATGCACAGGAAACCCAATTAATTGTTTTTACATTCAATTTTTTTCTTTGTTTTTTTTTTTTTAGTTTTCAAACATCTTCAAAAACAGATATATTAGGTAACCTAAACATAGCCTCACCTTGAACGAATATCCTCTAAAAAGGTGTCAACTTAATTCGTAATTGTTGTTAAATGACTTGCTTGTATGATGCAATGTAAGATGCAATAAAGTAAATGTCGTAAATAGTGTTATGAGCACTTTTGTGAAACGAAAGTCAGAGGATTTTCATGTAAAACTTAAAAACTAACACAAAAACAAAAACAACTGGAAATTTGGTGTCCGGTATTAAACTGGATTATTCACGTACATTTTGCATAACATTAGATGCTTTCCTGTTTACTCCAACTTGTGTATCAATCAAAGAACTTTTGAGAATTGTTAACAAAAAGGAATACGCAAACACTGWGGCGCCTATTGATGAGCTTAATAAAAACCTTGACTTTGTAATGAGTAGGAAGTGTCAACAATACTGTTATGTGAAAAGATAAATTTAACACCGTAAAAAAGTATGTGGAAAAACTTACTAAACACTAGTTTACCGCTAGTTCCCACCAGTGTCAACAATATAGTGGTCTTCGAAAGGTATTCTAAGCGATTGGTAGGTTTATACTCGCATTTTTCATGTACAAGCCGTCCATAATGTTTTCAACTCCCGCCATCATTTGAAGATACAGAAYAAATCGATGAAAATTAAACTTAGGAACAGACATTAATTASAAACAGGGCTTGACGCAAATGAATTCTCAAATTACAATGGTTTATCGACATTTTGACTAGAAAATTATATTTTTAATCGAAATTTYTCAGGTAATTCATGAGCGCTATACAAATGACTGAAAAATGTTACCAAGAAGGCGATAGCAGGAAATGTAACGTAATGACATTTTATAGCATGGATGCTAAATGACATTGCTTTTGCCGAACGTGATGGCTAGAATTTGTAAGAATTTATAGAGTATTGACTAAAGTACAAAGTGTATGACAAGGTAATATATACCTTGGGGCCATTACGTAGGTGTGCCATATATATACTGTTGTACTACGCACTGCATGTAACCCGACAGCTTCATTTTCATTTAGTATTTAACTAACAAGTGCACAAATCCAGCCACCTTTTTCAAGAAAATGCTACTAATGAAAAGCTGCTTTGGTTGAGAAATATTACGTTTTATTTATTATCAGTATCTAAACTTTATTTTCATGGATCTGATGGACTTAAAGTTTCTCATTCTAACTTGCATCTGAGAAAGGTAAACTAAATAGGCAACGGTAAACTTTACACAGGTAAACTTTACTCCAGGTATTGTAAACTAATGATGAATATTTTGAAGTGATACTACTTTTTGGAGCCACATGACTTTGCCTCGAGGTTCTAGTTTTTTTTCTCCACGAGAATGGTTAACTTGTGTAATCTTTTTGAAGCTGATCAGTTTTTTTTATTATTATTTTACTTTAGCAATCGGTTTCATAGTTTTTAAAAGAGGCGGACAAGATGGGTTGTTTTCACGTAGGCGTTTCAACCCACTAAACATACATGATTCAAAGAACGAACATCAAAAAGAAAAGTCATTTTATGTAATCCATTATTGCTGCCATTTCACAGGGGTATGTTGCCTATTACTTCACAGTCAGTGAATCGACTGTTAGCCTGCTTTAACATCTCAAACATTACCAAAAAGAACAAAAAAAGAACTTCATGCTGTGAGGAAAATTAAAACACAATAATTGAAAACACGAAAACACTCTGAGTAYTGAAAGCCGGAGGATTTTCTATAGACGAGCCTGCATTAGGATTCAGCTCGTCTCCCAAGAGACCATTCTAGTGTTTTTGATTCTTTCATTTGGAGAACAGCAGCTGTACTCGGACAACATATGCAACACTTCACAGTAAACTATCAGTCAAATACTATCAGGCTATATATGTGACGCTCAATTGAATACTCGATAGAGAGCTCTATTGCCTATACTAGTCCGATTGGTGCATGTACAAAAGTTGTAAGTATAACGATCTCAMCACATGTAACTATTCGCTATACTATGCTRTAGATAACAGACAWATCACTAAAAATCCTGGGAAAGACGGTAATTTATTGGAGAATTTGATTCGAAAAGCTTATCGAAAAAAATATTGAACTTCGAAAACCAACCATTAAACTTAAACGCGGTCATATCTTTCACTATTTTGCCTCTTTGGTGGTTGRGTTTAAAGTGAAACTTTAATCAAATTAATATTCTATTAATGGCAATACAACCTAAATTATTCTCAACCAGTCCTTCTTACTRAAATCTGCCGAGATCTCATTCATTTGAATGAGAACTTCAATGTGGACCCGGTTCTTGGTCTATGGAGAATGGTTTTTGATAAAAGTACTGTCGGGGGTGGGGTTGGGATTTGGTATCTATTGATGTGCCTGACAACCTCCTAAAGCATCAAATCAAACTTTACTGCCGACAAAGTTGATCCGTTGGTCGCGATCAGATTACACAGGAAACCCACTTGATCTCTTCAATCCATCAAACTTTGATGAAGAAGATGGTTAACCTTAAAAGAACTACTATTTCAAACAATCTTTAGTACACCATGATCATAAGATTGATTTATTGTAAATATCTTGATGAACAATTAGTTTGAATCAGTGTTTATAGTAATATAAGAATGTGGTATATTTCTCTGATGATCGTGGCGCTTCATATAWAAGCCGAGTTATGATGAATAGCTATGCCATTATTCAGTTGATGAAATGGCTTTTCACTGATAAGCCTCTCATCATGACCAACACAGTTCCTGTAGGCTTCTTGATTAGAAATCGTTTTTCKARGTTTTAAAAATTCATTCCCCAGTTCAGTCAATTTTTAACAGTTGAGATTAAAATCGTTTGTAGCCACAAGACATTCACATGTTTATATCTTTGATTTTTGAATATTAAGTACGCGTCTTTTCAGAACCAAACGGATTTTACTTGTTGTCTTTTACTTTGTTGGCATCAATATTGCTATCAGTAATAATGATAAGTTGAGGGAAAATCGAAATCTATCCAAGATTTCCCATGTGGAAAGTTGTGATGTGTAATGATCAGAATAGATAGCAAGTATGATTGCTTTCTTTTTTTTAATAACGCAATCACTTTTGACAAGGAAAAGCTGGAAACAAAATTTATGGAAAACTGTCAAACTATGTGAAGCTCAACCATGATATTACATAATTTTAGCTATTTTGACATTCGTTCTCAAAACCGATAAAATGAATTTAGAGTTGGGTTCGAAAGCTTTGCTAGTCCATCAAAATTACAGTTAGTGGGTGTTGCCTGGCATTAGTGACGTCACATAGGATGACAACGTCATTACAGAAGCACAGATACGTGCTTTGGAGGTGATTTTTCGACTTGATTTCGCTTTTGTCTTCGAGGAACTGTTATCTACCGCTTCATTTCGCTACAGCTTATCACAAATTTATCATGTCTTTGATTACACCGATACTCGAGATCATGAGTACACATGACTTACTAGTGACTGCATATTTATTACAATATTGTCATATAATACGATTAAATACCATCATAGTGAATTATATCTACTTTAAGTGCTTGATATTGGGCAATAATAGCAGTTAAAAGTCGCGTCCTTTAATTATCTCTCTTATGTAAGATTAATCTCGCTCTCAGCTCAGATATCGTTGGAAAAGTCGCCACTAATTTTCKCTTTTCTATCGTTGTCTAGAGTTGCTGCCTTGAATAGACGTGTCAAACCCTCAAGRCATTCATAGTCAAAACCACCGGTAAGTTTCTTTGCTTATACAGTGCTGTATTATAGTGGATTCATGGGGAGACGATCGCTATATATTTCTGAAAAAGGCTGCGAAACTTATTTTTTGTGACTTTTAATGCKTTTAGTTTCTCGAAAAGCTAAATGAATATAATAGATATTAAATAGAAATTTATTGCATAATGACAGTAATTGCTAAAAACAATTTTCGAATATTTCTGAGTTGTTGGAATTTATTATAAACCGCAGGCGTTGTTCAGTTCTTACTTGTGTGATTCTGCCTGCGGCTGAGAGTGAGTGAGTGAAGTATTTGATAAACTGCATCCGTTTATCCAAATGTAGTGGGCGATTTTTGTCAAATAATCAAACAAAAAAAAACTGTTCCCATAATACCTCCAATCATTCTAAATAAAACTTTATGAAAATGTTGTTTACGAGTATCTATTAGAATTAGCTAGAAAATGCTCTTGCAGAAATCTTACATGAATCGTTAGACACGCTGGACAGATTATAGTTAATATATACTAGCATCATTTTTTTCCGAGAGAAAATCGGTAAAATGTTCACAGCCAAATCGGTATCATTTACACTGAGTTTCTTAGATTGCACTCATTGTTGCAAATATCTCGACCAATATCTGGTACCTGATTGGATGATGATATAATCTTGTTTCTTATTGGTTTATACCGACGAGATATCGTCTGATTGGCTGTTTTTTTAACTTGTCGCACCATTAATTACTATGAGTGATAAATGGAATTTGCTTACTCTTTTAAAGTAGATTTGTTTTAAATAGTACTTAATGGATATTGGCAACAGTTGCGATAAAATCGTTTTGTCGTTCAAATCTGTTGCATTTTAAAGGATTCCCATCACAATCGGCACGCAACCATGTAACCACAGAAATTGAAATTAATAAAATTGTTACAATTAAAAATAACATAAATAAATTAAACGATCTCGCAGGGCATCGAGATTTTTTCGCATTTGTCATAAGGCGGTTTTCAAGAGCCTTCTGTGTTTAAGAATCGTTTTGGRATAARACAAGATTCATAACTCTTTTCTTCTCTTACAGACGCTCTCATGGCAAARGCACTAACTACAACAACTATGCTACCGCATATCAACATAACACCACCCACTAACGCCAGTCATATGCAGACTTCGACTTCAGAACTCGATGAGTACACTCGCCATGCACGAATTCTAAAACTGGCTTTGTATGTTATYATATTCTTGATCAGTTCCATCGGGAATTCTATGGTTTGTGTCATCATTCTACGAAGAAAGACAATGAAAACAGTCACCAACTATTTCATTCTGAACTTGGCAATTGCCGATCTGGCTTTAACGTGTATTTGTATTCCATTTGACATTCCAGTCCAAGAAATGAACTACGTATGGCCGTACGGTGGCTTTATGTGTAAAATACTGTACCCGCTACAAACKTTAGCACTRTTTGCTTCTATTTATACCCTGACAGCGGTGAGTTTGACGAGGTACTGGGCCATCGTTCACCCACTCAAGAAACAGTTGACAGTTGTTAAAGCCAAATTTGTGATCTTTGGAATATGGGTGTTTTCCTTAATCCCTGTATGCCCCTATATCATCATACTTAAGTACGACTCAGGGAAGAAATCCTGCGATGAATCATGGGATAGCCACAATACGCGAAAGGTCTACACAGCATTTTTATTTACGTCACAATACGTCTTACCGCTTATCGTCATAGCAACTGCTTACATAAGTATTGCACTTGAACTCCACAAACGCGAGTTTGTAACCGAGTGCTTGCGAAGGCAACAGTTGGAGGAGACGAGAAAAATAGTGCGCATGCTCATTGTAGTGACGGTATTGTTCGCTGCGTGTATGCTTCCTAATAATATCATGTGGATGTGGCTAGACTTTGGACAGGCTGATAAACACTTTAATTACTTCTGGGAAGTCATAGCTTTTAGTAATATCTTAACATTTGCAAACAGTGCTGCTAATCCACTTTGTTACACCATTTTAAACGAAAACTATCGAAAAGAGTTTAAATCTGCACTTCAATTCTGCTGGCAGAGGACGGAGGAACGGGTTGGAAACCAAATGCGAAAGGGAAGTAGTTTGTCTGGCTTTGAGCTTCTTAAGATACCTCGATCAAAGTCAACAACTACGACCGTTAGYACACTGTAGACGTTCTTTGACTACATTCCAACATCTCAAGAATCAGTAAAAATGCCAAATTTAATAATACTTACTTATCACCACTATCGTTACAAAGACCGCGGCATTGTGATGGAACTAAAAAGCTAGTGAAACGCGAAACTCTAATATCCCTCCCCTCCCCTTCCCTCCACAAATTAATGCATGGGGGGASAACTCCCCATGCATGTGACAAGCTATAGAATATACATATGTATAGTATTAGTAGTAAGAGGTAATATAAGATAAGTATTTATTGTAGATATATGAAATATTGTCTAAAACTAATGATGATTAAATAAGAATACATCTATGATCAGTGGGCATGTAACAGATAATAAAAGGTACATGATAGCTCAAGCATCCAAAACCGAGTTATTGTTCAGATCACCATAACCCTCTACCACTTCCTCACTTGAGGACATAGTTTGATTATGCAAAGATCTTAAAGG